GATTTCTATTCTAGCGATATATATGGCCTTTGAAAGACAAGCCGCTCAAAAATAATCCTTCACGTTTTCCAAATTATTTTTTTCGAGGAAAGTTTTCTTTCGAATTAATTTTCAAACGAGAGGGGGTTTGATAATTTAATAAGCCTAATCGGTTTTCTACCAAACCTCCTCTCACATAGGCTTTTAAGTAAATATTTATTATTTTGATTGATAACATTATCTTTTCTTGTTATTATCTAACTTACATTATTTGATACTTTCTGTAAATAATCGTGTGTGACAATTTATTAAACATAAACAAACAAACATATTAAACATAAACAAAACACCTGTGTCATGAGATACTTCTAGAGTTTGAAAATCTCATGATCACATTTAATAATCACTAATCAGTGTTTTAAAATATCTTTATCACATACGGAAGTTAATTTACTGTACGCACGATTTTTTAAACACACGGCCGGTGCATTATATTTCTAAAAATAAAAACAACTGTGAATGTGCCAGACAATCCAGATTGTATATAGTTTTGATTGTTTGCTCAAGCTAAAAGTAAAACATTATTTCCTTTGCAACATTTGCTAGTCTAAAATATCTTCTTCATATTCGTCCTTGACTGAAGCAACTATAAATTCCATTTGTTCATCTTGCATTGGTGGGCTATCTGATAAATTATCTCCTGTTGCAATGCCATATTGCTCACTGCCCTTGTTCCCAGACGCAGTGTCAATGTTTTGGTTGAAAACCATTGTTGCCTGTTGATTAATAGCTTTGTTGTACTGCTCGATTGACCTGACAACATCGCACTGTGCGGACTTTAAATTTGTGAAAACCACGTCAAACTGGTTCTCCAACTCATTCCTTCTTCTTTCTCCATCATGATGACTTATCTCTTCAGAAAATGTTTTGTAGCCCTGGTCTGCTAAAAACTGCGCCTTTTTGAGTTTTTCAGAATTCGTTAATACAGATTTCAAATTTGGACCTCTGTCATTCAGGTTTGCCCAATTTGAGTCAAGGTCTTGAACGTTACTCACTAAAAGCTTAGTTTTCATCAGTGTCCAGTGGACCTCTATAACACCACACCTTTCCTGAAAACCCCAAGTTTCAAAGAATGGATCACGTGAAATTTCTCTTGCTTTCTTCTTGGCAAAAATCATTCGTTCCTTTTCTAGTAATCCAGTCGCATTTTCGATTTCATTGTCACTGTATATTTGACTACCACTTGTACCAGCAATTAGATTTTTTGATTCTGTTTCCTTGGATACACTTGCAGATTCCAGATCTTGCTCACCATCATGTCCATCATATCCAGATATAGTTTCGGTCGACACTTGTGTATCACACTCTGTCTCTAAAACCGTCGTCGTCGAACTTGTTGTGTCATTCTCTGTTGTTTCAGTGATCTGCAGGTCACAAAAGAACGTTTGTGTCTGGTCGGATTTACTAACGCATTGCGCTGCAAGATATTTTTTTTCCTGTTTTCGGTTTAATGGTGTTGCAAACACTACAAAACAGTAATCACTATGAAACAGCTTCGCATTGTCGATTTTTTTTCTTATTTCTGCTAGGGATGTTTGAAGGGTAATGTCTGACAATGTCCCAATAGTTTCTTCAGTATTATATTTTCGTAGATAGAGTTTTACAACCGACATGATGACTGACGAGGAATATTTAAAACGGTCTTTGCACAGTTGCAGTTTGCAGTCCGCATTTGCAGGTGTGAAATTTACAACTTTCGAACATCCTGTCTAATAAGCGGTTCTCATTGGCTATCGCTAATTACTCGCAATCTATTATTGGTTAAGCAAAGCAAACGTGTTTTGAAGCAAAATGTAAACAAATATTCTGACACGAAACAGGTCTAACAGGTCAAGCGCTTTATATAAACCCGAGTTTGGTGTGAAGATATAAGAAATATTAAGGTTTATAGGTTAACTATTAATAGAAGATTAAAATGAAAAAGTCAAACTATTATGCGTTGATTCGTGAGAGAGTTATAACTCTTGTTATACACTGTGTATCAATATATAGTTTTAGTTGTCTAGTACGTGTTTCTATTATAAATAAATATGCACGAAAATAAATATTGTAGTTTTTTACCCGGCTTTTACTACCCTGGTTCCAGAGGTTTATTTTTATTATTTTCATTGCGACGGGAGGCTTTTACATGAATCCGCGAAATTTAAGGTGTTTGCAGTTAGGGCATGGGATCATTTTTAGCTGTCAGCCTGTGTGTCATTAAAGCATTGGAATGTTTTTGAATAACATAGTCAAGGGAATTATTGCAAAAGTTTCCTACTGTATGTACTATTTACAACATGTGCGGCCGTGTTGTATCGGATATACAAACTCGAGCCGAAGGCGAGACATGGCTTAAAAAACGACTCATCTTATGCGTTCATTGGCGAAGTAATTTCAAAAATAAACGTTGTCTAAGCCGAGAAAATCAAAGTTAAAGTTTATGTAAATCAATATGAATTTGTATCACAGATACGACACGCTTATGATTTTTCTTTGTGTATGAAGTTGTAAATTTCAATCTGCTAGTGCGGGGCGGGGCCTGCGGGCTATTATAATACATGGTCTAGACAGCGGCAGGTATTTTCCGCGGGTGGCGGGTAACGGGTAGCGGGTGACGGGTAGCGCATGCGTAGCGGGTGGCGGTGGTTCTCGAACAAATAAACAGTGTAGCGAAGTTTGGCACAAATACCGATATTTCTGGAGATTTTCAACCACAGTGACAGGCAAAGCCAAAGGCACAACTGTATCTGAACATGATTTCCAAGCTGCATTTAGGCGTCTTCAAGTGGTGATTCACACGAAATTTGGTTTCTCTCGTCTTTAACAACATGGCAATAGCCTTTAATATTTGGTTTAAATAATTATGCTCTTAGGTCTGGCTTAGTTCGATATAAATAAACACAAATATAAAACCTCGGGTATTAATTACCTGTTTACGCTGCATGTACAGTGAATATACAGTTCGCTTCGATTGCCGGACACCAATGCTTGCATACAAATTTTATCCCTTTCACAATCTTCGTTTTATTTTATCGTATAGTCGCAATTTTCAAGTATTCGTGGTACTCTGAAACTGTAAAACTCGGTGGCGTGACAAATCTTGTAGAGACTACATCGGACTAGGCGTAGAGCTATTAAGTAAACCGGGCCTAAATTAATTTAATAGTTTCATTTAATTGTTTGTCTTGCTTTTATTTGTGTCGATCAGTATAGAATATTGTAAATTAAATATTACTACAATGCAATACGCGTAGTATTTCATCCGACATCTGCACTACATTATAAATACAGAAAACTACGCAGTAGTCTACGGCCAGGGACGCCGGAACGATCATAGGGCAAAGGGGGGCGGGCCCAGACCAAGGGCACCTCTATGAAGCAAATTTTTTTTTACTCGAAAATTTTCGGCGACCTACCCCCCCGTCGCCAAAAAAATTTCGGTCAGTGTACAATTTTAGGGGTCAAAAAATTTTTCCGGACATATCAAAAGTCGGATATAAACTATAAATTGTCTGAATCTCATGATTTTCGTACAAAAAGCATCGTTGTAAATGTGATTTATCACGTACTATTTTACAACTAAAAGGGCACTTCTGCCCCCCTGCCCCCCCTAGCAAAAGGCAAGGGGGGCAGCCGCCCCCCCTGCCCCCCAGTTCCGGCGTCCCTGAGTCTACCGACTATAAAGTAGATGTTTCTCGTTTTTCCAGGAAACATCACAGCTCACGTCAACATAGCTTTTGAGTTTTGTAACCGGCCGAGCCGAAAGTAGCTAAATCATGCAGTCGGGAAAACCGAAAACTTCTTACTTTGAAAGATTATTTTGCAAAATACACTCGTACACACAAGAATCATAAAAATACATATGTTGAAATTGTTATTGTCAACTGTCAAATTCAGCTATTTTTAGACAATATGGTGTTAGCCAATCAGAATGCAAAATTGACCGGCCCAGCCCAGACCAGGGCTTTCTCGTCTCTCTGCCTCGCCCTCATACGAAAGCCCTGGGAACGAGGTTGCGTAAATTATTCTATGTGTTCAACATGTGAATTACGAGAACTACCGCCACCCGCTACGCACGCACTACCCGCTACCCGTCACCCGCTACCCGCGGAAAATACCTGCCGTCTAGACAGACAGATGGTCTAGATTTAACTTGGCTTTTCTAGCTATTACACCCGTTTTCAAAATTACGCGACCTCCCTGAAAAATACTCCTGCTTCAAATGTCAGTTTTATGTCACAAGAACTGCTAAAAATAGCAAACGTAAACAAACTGTCTAAAGACATTTTAAACCGTATTTAATACCAAAACTGAACAAAAATGAGTCAGATAACTTAGATATACAAACTAAAGCACAATACAAACCATCACAACATAAATATGTGCCGTGAATGACTTTTAAAGTTTGAAAAATAACAATTTATCCTGGAATATAGCTGTCAGTATAAAACACGCGCGCTAGACTATAACGGTGATGTTATGATTTTGTCGTGCTTAAATTTTACAATAATTCTCACTAAAATATCTTGAAAATCATTGTAAGTCTGTTTATATAAAGCATACAAAGCATATACATCGACAAGGAACCGCAAAACTCAAAATTTGAACTTCGTGATCGAATGACATAAAACTGACATGTCAACTCTAGCATTTTCGTCTTTGGTCGCGTAATTTTGAAAACGGGTGTAAAGATCAAAAATACAAAATTTTATCACTAAAACTCTGATTTTCGCGTGCTAGCCCCCAAACCTTTTAAACTGGGTAAATTCATATATCGCAATTAGTACAAGCTTTTAAAACGCAAATGGCATACAGTACAATATAACAATAACAAGATAGACTGGGAAATTAGAATTATGAAATGAATTCCTGCATTTTATATTACATATAAGGCAAACTTCCGGAAGTACGAAATAACAAACGGGACAATGTAACAAAATTAAATTTATAAGAACCTCGTTATATTATAAACAGAGAATATGAAAGCAATCAAAATAGTTTTTGACGGGGAAACGGTTGGCGTTTTGCCAGCGTTTAATGAGGGAGATACTTTGTCAAACCTTCGCGATGAAATTTCAGACGATTTGGGCCTGAAGAGCTTTGTGTACCTGTATGAAGACTTGCCAATTGAATTAAGCAAGGAAAGCATTCTTAAAGTCGAATGCGTTGCAAAACAAGTTAGCGGAGAAAACGAATGCTTATCCATTGAGCTTACTTCTGGCGATCGACCCCCACAAGGCGACCGCGATTCAACGAAATTAAAAACAAATATTGGACAAACAAACATGTTTTTGCGACGTCCAAGTTCTTGGGAAGTACGAGGTATAAAGATTTACACAACTCAAGACATTGAAGTGGCAAAGGGAATGGAGAAACAAAGACGCCTTTTCTGGAATGACACGGCGAAAAAGCTGGGCAAAGAAACGAAAAAGTCTAAACAGGATATTGCACAAATTATTAATGAGGCCTGGAGGAAAGAGCAAACCGGCTTATTGATTGGGGAAAGTAAAGATTTACTAAATGCAGCTGAAGACATGCATGCAAAAGAGAGTAAATTGAAGCCCAGCACTCTTTCAAAAAATGTCCAAAGAATACGAAACAGCCAGAATGAATTAGAAAAAGTCAATGCCAGTCAGGGCCGTCGCGAGCGGGGGGGTGTGGGGGGGTGCTTCACCCCCCCAATAATTTTCGCAAGTCGGCCCCAGTCGGCAAATTGCTTCGTTACTGTTCGGCAAATTGCGAATTCGGCATTCAGCAAATTGTAAAAGTTAAGAACGAAGGCGATAAATAAAGCGATAAACTTTGGATTTAAAATAATGGTTTGTGTGGCCTTATACCATTTAAATGTATTTCTATTTTCTAGTAATAATATTAGTCTTTTATTTGTCGAAAATCGACGGGAGGCTGAAATGTGAAACCCACGTTTCCGGGCATGTTCTTCGCTCGACTGCTCTTATAGCGAAGGCTCTTTATCAATTATGCGCGGTTCAAAACCCAAAAGAAAAAGAATAAAATTTTAGTGTCTTGAATGTAATTCGATTTTTGACGACTATAATAGAAAAATTATTATTTATTTCACGAGGGAAAAGTATTAACCATAAAAGTTATCTAATATACGGCCCGACGATTACCGTAAGAGGCACGAGCAAACTTGCCATAAGGGAAACCAAGTGCGAGTAGCACATAAAGACGTACCAGCTAATCCGTTTGAGACTGCAAACCGCAGTCAAAGCCAAAGAGAATATTTTGAGTCGTCAGAGGTGCAAGATCCTCAAGAAGACTCCACAGGCACATGAGAAGAAGACCAAGAGAAAGAACGGACTTGTCTTCTTTAGTTCTTTAGCGAAATTACTGTTAACTCTGATCAGCCTACAGTTTTGAAAGACATACCACATACAGCGATCGGTATCATCGATCGGTTGCATATGATCATATCCGTTTTACTCGCTTTCTGATGCATAAAATTTAAACTCTTGGAAAATCGGGTCGTACAAAAGCCCAGGTTAACACTATCCGGCACTATAAGAGTTTTAAGACTGCTCAAAATACAAAAAAATATTATAAATTGTCTATTCGGCGCCTGGGGATAAAAAAGGTCAAATTCATCAAATTGCCTTGAAAATATTGAAATAAAATATCAATGCAATCACATGCAGATACTTGCATGGATACCCTGGTTCCAGAGGTTTATTCTTATTATTTTCATTGCGAAGGGGAGAGGAAAAATAAACCTCTGGTTGAAAGCGGCAATTGATTCATTGAGCTGTGCCAATCAGTTTGAATTAGGGTCAGATCCTGACTCTGTCTCCTGACTGGATGATTGTATTAAAGTTCTCTGATTGGTTCAAATAGAACATCTATAACCAATCAGAGAGCTTTAATACGATCATCCAATCAGGAGACAGAGTCAGGATCTGACCCTAATTCAAACTGATTGACGCGGCTCAATGAATCAATTGCCGCTTTCAACCAGAGGTTTATTTTTGCTCTCCCCTTCGCAATGAAAATAATAAAAATAAACCTCTGGAACCAGGGTAATACTTGGATAACTTTTCTGACTTTGCGGAGATGCGCGTCTGCACCACAGTCTAAGACACTCGTTACTCAGAGACTCAGACTATATAATGCACACGGTACCGTTTCCGAGCGTTTTTCGGTTGTAATTAATGCGTTAATTTCTGAAACTGAAAGTACCATTTTCACGTACGTTCTGTTCACACGAAAACGTATGACAACGACGTCAGGAAGCAAAAACGTTTCAAATAGTGAAAACGATGCCAAACATTCGTTCTCTATGTTTGAAACGTTTGGTCGTTTTGGCACTTTGTTATAGTGTAAACAGAAAAGTAGAAGACGAAAATGAAATTCCGTGTTTGAATTTGGAAATGAAGACTATAAAAAACTAGTGCTTTGTCAGAAAATGTTGCGAGAAAAACGATCAATGTGAACAAGGCGCCTAAACGCTAAATTTTGAAAACGGCACTGCAAAAACGCTCAAAAACGTGACCCGTGTGCACATAGTTTCAGTCTCGATTTAGGACTTATGAAAACACAGTATAAATTATGTTAAATTTAATTTTTTTCCAGCTTTATATGTTTAGTATCAAGCAACAACCCACGAACAGGCATCCATTTCAAAACAAGAGCCATATTGGTGTCCCTCAGTTACTAGCACACCAATATGATTCTCATTACCTATATCTAACCTTTACAAACTTTTGAAAAACTCGGCAAATTCAACTAGCGTCACTCGGCAATTTGACCTTCGACACCCCCCCAATCCATATCCCTTCGCAACGGCCCTGAATGGCCATTCGATATGTCCATTCGACATGCACATGTCCAATGGACATTTGAGTTGTCCATTGGATCCAATGGACAGTCATATGTCCAATGGACATTTCATATGTCCATTGGACATTTGCGTTAGTATTGGACATGTATGAATAAATCATACTATGAAATAAATCATTTTTTTACATTCATTCGCCGCTGAAGAAGTTTGTTCTCCTGCTGCAGTTGCTTAAAATTTTCAACTTCTGTTTGACCTTTCGTTGACGGCGCGAAAGAACAACAAATGAACTTTTTCGGTGGCGAAATTTTCGCCAGCGGCGGCGAAATACGTGAGTGAAAAACGGGCTTAAGGATTTGTGACGTCGGTGCAATGGGTCTATTCTTTCTGTCACTTTCATTTGATCTTATACGTGAGTTGGCCTTAACGGCCTTTGATTCGCAACTGTTCCTGCTTCGATCTAAATTTGTACATAATCCTCCACTTACAATTCCCATTTACTAAAAACCTTCAGCTGTACATTCTGTCAAACGAGATGAAAAAAGATCGCGACAAAATCACAGCATGTAGGTACCTACCTGGCACAAAGCGGACATGGGATTGTCCATGGCGGATCTCTTGAATTCTGTCACAAGTGAATGAAGACGAGCGAAGCTTCCTTTGATTGGTTGAAGCGGGAAAATTGTCTATAAATGCAGAAAAACGATGTGATACCATTAAGCTATATACAACTTAGGCAGCCCAATGTTATGGTTGCCTGCCTGCGCGGGCGAAGCATTGTATAGTTGTATTATTTAATAATACAACTATACAATGCCTCGCTCACCTACAGCTATACAATGCCTCGCTCGCTCGCCCACCCACCCACCCACCCACCCACCCCAGGTTCATTCGGACAGAGTTGCAAAACCTTTTCAAATTTCCTCCGGGTAAAATTTAAAGTTTTCAAAACCTTCCTCAAAATAAATTGAATAAATACTAAAATATGACTTCATCAAATAGGCAATTACAGCTTTTAGTTCATGCCTGCAGGGGATGATGAGAAGTAAGGTATCACAGTGCTGATTATGCTGAAAATTGTCAATAAAAACTACCGAAACAACCAAAATATTTCAATATTTACAAGTATAAGCTATCATTTCGTGTTTACACGGCCACCATTTCTATTTTTTTCAGCATAATCAGCAATATGATACCTTACTTAACTGATTCTGAAAGCATAAAATTCGAAACAGACGTGTCGTTAAATGCAGTACATGATTCTAATATATAATTTGCCGTAATAGATTTATACTTTGGACAAAATGAATATAAAATATAAAAAAATAAAGTCCTGGACTCAAGATAATCTTTAAAATGTGATAGTTTCTGAATTTGTAATAAAAAGCACAGCGGTACACTGTACACACGTAAAAATTGAGAAAATCAACAATTTGTTCAACTTGTTCCAGGTTGATGTTGACAGGCGTGACCAAGGTTGTGCTGCCCACTATGAACAAGTTGTCAACAAAACTTGCAACAACATTGTTAACCACTTGTCCATAGTGGGCAACCCAACCTTCCTGTCGATATCAACGGAAGTTGTTAGGACTGTTGACCACTAAACCTTCCTCACTGACCTCGCCTATGGTAAACCTTCCTCGCGGGTAATGCCCGCGTGCCCGCAGCTTTTTTAAAGACCATTTACACGGGCGATTTTTGCTGCAATTTCAGTTGCGATTTTCTCCTTTTGCAGGATGTGAAGGAGTAGATCAGTTATAAATGTTCCAGGTTATGAAATCTCATTACAATACTCATTAATAATTCATAAACCATGTGGCAAATCATGTCAGCCATAATATGTCACGTGGAGTGACTTTATATCTATTAATTAGTATAATTATATAATGGTTCATCTTAATAGACCTTTCCCCTTTTGAGTGAAATTTTGATCTAGACAAGTCTGGACAAAAATTTCATCACAGTTTGAAAGAGCATCACAAAATTAGTAATATTCCGAAGTTTCGTTGCGAAATGTTGTAAAATGCGGATAATATAGCCTTGCGAAGTTTGCCGTTTTTCAGTCATTTTGTATTACAAATGAAATTGATAATCAGTTTGATCATCTGATTATCAATTTCTCATTTGTAATTGTAGACATGTGGGTGAGTGTCCCTGTTCCCCCAACTTAGGTAGGCTGGAGGGAATATTTGGGAACCGTGAAAATCTTACGATTTGTTTGTGTGTGATTATCGTTGAAATTACTGCCACTTTTCACACAGATGAATTGCACAGTGGTCAAAGGAGACTAGCTTTCTAGTTGACCACTGTCTACTATTTCATGATATTAACTAAATGAAATAAGCAAAAAAACCAACAAATTGTGTCTCTAAATAACACAATTACAAAACATAATATATAATCAAGACTATTTACAAGCTATATTACGGTAACTTTACAAATGCATTTTATCAAAACGTTTGAAATGTAAACTATTGTTGACCAATGATTTTTAATTTACTAAATTTTCAAAAACGCTTTATATTTTTGACATGATTTAATAGCATTGCGTCAATTGCGTGCTATCTTGGTATGTGTGTATTGATATGTGTTATTTTACTTGTCTGCAGTCTGCGTAAATGCACGCGTTGCGTTTCTTATTTTCCGGTCTAAGTGTGGAGCCGGCCTACAGCCAAAATCAGGCCAGACAAAATTATGGCCTGATAAATGTATGGCCCAGTACCGGTGAAATTTGGTTGAAAATGTCACATTTGAGGCA